GTATGACCAGATTTAAGACAAACTATACCGAATGGCATCTGTCCAATATGGCTATAACAGTAAGTTAATTCTTCATCAAGACCAGTTGGACGCCCACCCATTGAATATGTCAACGCCGGTCCCCGTCAGAAGAGAAAATTGGCATCCGATTTAGCTGTTAGTCAGCGTCACAACCACGGTTGCCAGTTAAAAATTTTTTCATGAGCCAAAAAAAGATTAAAAATGAGCCAATTTGAATAAAAAAGAGCCACATTTTTATTTATTATTTATTTTGATTTTATTTAACTTTAATCATAAGAGAGTAATTAAAACATAAACAAAAACATAACTAAACATTTTTCTGAAATGAAACAGCTTAACAGCTAAGTCTTACTGGTAATTAAAGTCATTCTGAGACCATACATATTCAGTTTTTTTCTTATCATATCTTAATTTAAATCTTTGTGCGACCATACATAGTGCGTTTCTTTATTTAAAATTAATTCCTTGCATAGCATTATGATGCTAACGGTATTAAATTCTAATTTATTTCTTAATTTGGTTTTTATTAGGCTAATTGCAAGAAATTTTCGCTATGCTGCAGCAGAGCTGTGTGGAAGTGATAATAAGTTGTGTACAAACTTAATGAGATCTTTAAACACACTTTCATTTAATCCATTTGTAATCATTGAAATGTTATCTCAAAATAAAATTATATCAGTCTTTATACCCGTTACTCGTAGAGTAAAAGGGTATATTGTATTCGTGCAAAAGTATGTAACAGCTAGAAGGAAGCGTTTCCGACCCTATAAAGTATATATATTCTTGATCAGGGTCACTAGCCGAGTCGATATAGCCATGTCCGTCTGTCTGTCTGTCCGTCTGTCCGTCCGTATGAACGCTGAGATCTCGGAAACTATAAAAGCTAGAAGATTGGCATTTTGCATGCAGATTCTAGGAGTTCCTACGCAGCGCAAGTTTGTTTCAAAAAGGTGCCACGCCCCCTTTAACGCCCACAATCGCTTATATACGATTTTAAAAATTTAAATATTTCAGAAAAGTAAAAATGCTGTTTATCAATACCTATCGAAATGTAGAAGAAATTTTTTCAAATCGGACCATTCGTTAAAAAGTTATGCGTGATCAAAGTTTCTATCTCCATCTCCCTCGCACTCTCTTACCTGAGTAGCGGGTATCTGATAGTTGGGGCACCCGACTATAGCGTTCTCTCTTGTTTTATTTTAACGGTATTTCCGAAATTACTTCAAATATACTTAAACCCCTGAAATGTTTTTGTAAGTGTGATCTAGGATTTATAGTGTTCTTAATTTTATTCTCCTTTTGCTTCCGATCACTACGGCCACGCTAACTTGAATGTTCTCTTTCTCCTTCGTTTTATGCCTTCGTGCAGAAAACGAAGAACATATCGATACTTTTAACCAGGGATCGCACATACAATATATAAATCCAGGGTTACACACAAAATATAATATAACTAACTTAAAACTACTTTGGCCAAGTTGACTAGGAGGGATTGCTTACATAGTTCTTATTACTACAATTCGGCCGTCCTGACTATGAGGATCTCCCGATACTCGTTGACTTACTTCTAGTAACAATGCTACTTTGGCCATATTTATTTATTTTACAATTGTCGTTTATATCTATGTTTTTACTATTATTTCCAGTATTACTATTTACAATAATATTATTTGTATTGCCAATTTCCTCCGTAGGATTCATTTCCTTATCTTTTATATCTGAACTTTCATGAACATCAATTTTTTCTTTTCCATTAAGCCAGGGTTTCATATTATGCACCGCCCATATACCAGAATATGGCACTTGGGACTGCTGAAAGTTCTCTACATCTTCAATAAAGTACCTATCATTATCTAGCACCTTGGACACAACATAAGGCCCCTTAAATTTGGGAATTAACTTACTGGACACACCCTGCTGCGAGTTGAAATTTCTTACAACAACATAATCTCCTTCAAAAAACATTTGCGGCTTTTGTCGTTTTGAATCAACATAGTTTTTGTTATATCCTTGCGCTTTTTTCTGGCATATATCAGCTTGTAGTCGTATTTCGTTTAGGTCTTTGTGCAAAATTTCTTGACTCTCATCAATAAAATTTTCTTTTAAACTATCAATATAACAACCCTTCTGCCTAACACCAAACAACATTACACTTGGGTATTGATTTAAACTTCGGTTTTTTGTATTATTCATTGTAAACTCTACTTTGTCTAAAACTTTGTGCCATGCTTGATTATTCTCTACATCTGTTAACTTTGCTATCATTGGACCTAAATCTCTATTGACTCTTTCTACTTGTCCGTTAGCTTGTGGGGAAGCTGTTGCTACTTTAATATGCCTTACATTGTTTTGTACAACAAATTCCTCAAATTCCTTTGATGTGAAACAACTGCCTCGATCAGATATTATGTTTTTAGGTCTACTGTACGATCTGAAATAGTCTTCTAACGCTTCGATTGCTTCCTTGGAACTAGTTGTTTTTGTTGGATATAATCTGGTGAATTTTGTACATGCGTCAATTATTACTAGTATGTGCTTCTTATTCGTTTCCTTGCTATTTATCGGACCATAGTGGTCAATGTGAATGACTTCAAACGGACTTGTTCCTTTCGGAATGGGATGTAAAAAACCCTCAGTTTTACCTGTTTTATTAGAAAATGCTATACACTTTAAGCAGTTCTTTATGTGAATCTCAACTTTCTTTCTTATACATGGAAACCAATAACTCTTATTGATAAGGTCCGCTACTTTGTCAATTCCTACATGCCCCATTTCGTCATGGTATTTGTACAGAACATTTTCTTCCATTGATTGTGGAACACAAAACAGTAGCCTATCGTTACTTTTCTTGTACACGACACCATTTCGTAATTCATAGTGCTCATCCTCTTGATTTAATAACATTTCTTTAACTCTATTTATATTTTCATCTCTTCCCTGACATATAATTAGATTTTCTTCGAAAGTATTTGTTTCAACTACGAGAATGCTATTACTTCGACTAAGTGCATCCACATGTTGCATTCTTTTTCCCGACCTGTGCTCAAGCTCGTAGTCATAGTTTTGAAGCTCTAAAGCCCATCTTGCTATACGGGGGTTTATTTCTTTTTTATTTAAAGTTAAAGTTAACGAATTGCAATCAGTTACAATTTTGAATCTAATTCCTTGCACATAAACTCGAAATCTTTTTAATGCATTTATTATTGCTAAGGTTTCCAATTCGAAACTGTGGTATCTTGACTCCACATCGGTTGTACGTTTCGAAAAATAAAAGACAGGGTGAAATTTGTTATCCCTTTTTCTTTGTAATAATATTGCGCCATAACCTAATGAGCTTGCATCACAGTGCAACTCCGTCTCATCTCTTGGATCATATATTGCTAAAATTGGAGCTTCTATTAACTTTTCCTTAAGTATAGTGAATGCATTTAGTTCTTCTTTGCTAAAAACAAACTTCTTGTCTTTTCTGGTTAAATCGTAAAGTGGCTTTGCAATAATAGAAAAATCTTTAATAAATCTTCTAAAATAAGAGCACAACCCTATAAAGCTTGAGACCTCACTGACTTTTAAAGGCACTGGAAAAGACCTAATTGCTTGTAAACCCGTCTCGTTCGCTTTTATCCCATCTCCATTGACTGTATATCCCAAGTAATCAATGGATGATTGCAAGAATTCACATTTATCAAGTCTCAGCTCTAATTTGTTTTCAACTATACGTTTCAAAACTTCCTTTAAAACTTCGAAATGCTCATACAAACTCTCCGTCGCTATCATAATGTCATCAAGATAAATCACAACTTTTCCTGGTCGTACCATATCAGCAAATATCTTGTTAATAAATCTTTGGAATGTTGGTGGTGCATTCGTCAAGCCAAACGGCATTCTTAGAAATTCAAACTGCCCTAGTGGCGTGGTAAAAGATGTATATTTAATAGAATTATCATCCATGAACACGTGATGAAATCCGTTTTTTAAATCAAGCTTCGAAAAGAATTTTTTATTCGCTAATCTTTCCAACAAATCGTCAATTAACGGAATCGGGTAATTATCTTTGAGAGTGACCTTATTAAGACGACGATAATCGACACACATTCTAAGTTCTCCTGTCTTTTTCTTTACAAGAACAATTGGCGACACATATTCGGATTCACTTGGGCGTATATACCCATTGGCTAAATTCTCGTCTAATATTTTTTGAACTTCGGACTTTTCTGCGTAAGACAACCTTCGAGGGGGACACCGAAACGGTTTATCACTTTCAATTGTGATCTTCATTATACATTTTATTTTAGGTGCCATTGGACGATCAGCTTCTTCGTAGAATGTCTTGAACAAACACTTCAGCTTACTTATATTTTCTTGGCTCACCTCTTTTCCTATCGTATACGTCGCTTTACCATCGCAAATAACATTTATATTAAGCATATCTCTATCAAACGAATCCACTTTGTGACTTTCTTCATTCGCAACGATTTTGTCTAATCTGGTATCAACATCGTCCTCTAGAGCTTCATAGACCTCAACATTAGTATCCGCTACAACTTCTAAACATTTTGCTACCTCGGACTTGCTCGACTTCTCTACTCTTTTCTCTACTTCTATCTGCTTCTCTACATTGACTTCTACTTTGTTATTGTTTCCAAGATCGCTCTCTACTTTTGTCTCTACATCTACCTGTTTCTCTACATTGACTTCTACTTTGTTTAATAAATCACTTTCGCATTTTTCCACTAAATGTATACCCACTGGCTTAACAGATAAATGGTTAACATCGTTAACTACTTGTACAAGTTTAAAATTACTTAGACTTAGAAAATCGCGTCCTACTACCATTGAGTACCTTACAGATTCATCAGTTACAACCAATAATTCAATTAATACGTTTTTATTTGAACTTATAATTAAACAAACTGTTTTTCCAATTATATTTAGTTTACTTTCATTTATTCCGTAGAATGTATTATTCAACTTGTCCTTATCAATGATTACGTTACTGGGAACTGCGGATTTCTTTAGAAACGAAACGGGACTTCCCGAATCTATGAGGCACTCTATGGAATACAATTTATTAGAATTATGTATCGTATTTTTAAATTGAACTTTCAAATTTCTTACATATTCGTTGTTATTCTCTTTCTTCTTGTATAATGAACACTCTCTAGCCAAGTGTCCAACTTCTCCACAGGCATAGCAAGCTCCATTAGCCCGTACTGGCTTGCGACATTCCTTAGCCTGATGACCAAAACTGTGACAGTTAAAGCATTTGATGACCCTCTGTTCCGGGGTCACGGCGTTTGGTAAAGACGTACCTTGCATCCTACCTTGTTGTACTGGAGCTTTGGGTTTCTCTACATCTTGAAAGGCTTCCAATACATCAGCAGGCACTGCAAAACGTAGTAACTTCGCTTGGTTTTTAAGTTGTACATTTTGTATGCCATCTACCAAATACTGAACTAGTTCGTGAACAGTCATAGCGACGTCTTGTGCCAGAGTAAGCTTGTCAAAATAGTAAACGGCGAATTTCTCACCGAACTGCCACTTGCGGTTTTCAAACTTGCGTCGCATTTCCAATACGTTATCCTTGGTTCCAAAAACAATTTTTAATTGTGCCAAAATCAGGTCAATACTTCCAGACAACAGTGATGGGCGAGATAACAGCCAAAAATTAGCCTTGCCCTTTAAACGCGAGCAAATTAATGGACGCATGACGTCATCACTGACTTTGAACACATTTCGAACATTTTTAACCATCAACAACCATTCGTTTATGTTGCCACTGCCGTTGTATTCTGGGAGCAGCTCTTTGACGGTGTTTAAATTCATTTCTGGCTTTAAAAGACGGTCAGCATTTTCGAAACGTAAATTTTGCATCGCCTGTTCCATGCCCGCAGCGTTGCCACCCAACTCACTTCGTAGCACGCTAAAAGTTGAAGGGTTTGGTTGAACGCCGTTTCCTTCGAGTTGAATGCCATCACGATCAATCGTCTCGACAAGCTTAAGTTCGTCGCCGTAAACGTCTTCATCTTCTTCTTCGCCGTGTTCTTCGTTGTTGTTGTTGACTGCCTTGGCGACAGCCATCTCACCGCCTTGGTCTTCGTTGTTGTTGTTGACTGCCTTGGCGACAGCCATCTCACCGCCTTGGTCTTCGTTGTTGTTGTTGTTGGCTGCCTTGGCGTCAGCCATCTCAGCACCAATTTCACCAGAAGACTCCACTTTTTCGTAGTACAACTCCGGTGCAATTTCAGACGGTAGTACCGCACTTAACTGCGCAATTAGTGCAACTTTGTTTCCCTTTGTGGACAAGCCAAGTTTTTCACAGAAACTTTTGATTTCGATCAATTTGAGTTCGCCGAGATTAATGCGTGAAGCCATGTTAATAGACATATGCCTATTTTACTTGCTTAGGTTCAGTTACCACTTCTGAATTATAGTGTTCTTAATTTTATTCTCCTTTTGCTTCCGATCACTACGGCCACGCTAACTTGAATGTTCTCTTTCTCCTTCGTTTTATGCCTTCGTGCAGAAAACGAAGAACATATCGATACTTTTAACCAGGGATCGCACATACAATATATAAATCCAGGGTTACACACAAAATATAATATAACTAACTTAAAACTACTTTGGCCAAGTTGACTAGGAGGGATTGCTTACATAGTTCTTATTACTACAGATTAAACATCCCTTTAAGCATCTCTGAGTCATTATCTAGAGAAAATGTTCTGTAGTTAATGAGTTCGGTGTTTCGTCACTCCATATCTAGGAACAATCTGCGCTTTCCTTCTTTCATTTGGGATCGGCACACCCATCCTCTACGATAAAATAAAATTGTTGGCTCTTTTGTATTTCCAATTTTTTGCTGAAAATATTGTCTTGTTTTACATATTCTCGTAATATGACATAATAAATCTTCAGATCCGACTTCGTTATTAGAGCTGATTTAGTGATTTTTTTGTTAGTCATATCAATGGTAGGCTTAATCAGCGTGGTTTAAGATTGTTTATTTATCTATTTGGCCCACCTTGCAATAATAATACAACGATCTGCAATTATACATCACCTAAGTAAGAAGTTTGGCCTTCTTTCTTTGCGGTGGCACGATTTGCTTTGCTTTCAGATAGATGATAAGCGCTCTGAACTATTTTTCTCATTCACTCCGTAGTAAAAACTTTTCAATGGCTTTACATAAATTGGTTTCAATTGTTTCTCAGTCGTTAAAATTATTTTATTAAAAAGGGGGAAAACAAATTTCTTAATAGAAGAACCTTGTGAAAAACAATTAAACAATTTTTTTTCTTGAATAACAGTTTATTTAATTGTTTTACTTGCACGCATCGAAACTCTTTCGCTCAGTGTTTCTATGTGTGTTCGGAGACATGCATATATTTTTGATTGCGAAGATTTCTCTACCTTCAGCCTCTCAACATGAATATATTTGGCTTGCATAGATTTAAAGATTTCTCTTCAAAGAAAGCCAAAGCTCAAAATATTATACTAATATAAATACTGACTTTTTTATGTCACAGCTTATTAAGTGCAAGGAACTTTATGTTTAATATATTGACTATTAAATAACTTAATATTTTGTGTGGCCTCCCTTCTGTTTGATGACATCCTTTAAGGGGGGTCCCATTCAAAAAACGATATTTTATTTTATTTAATTCGAACCTTTAATATTCAAGATTGTTCCTTTAAAATTTCAAGTGAATATTTCAAAAACTTTTGAAGATATAACCGATTTATGGTTGAAGCGTCAGGCGACGGCGAGAGCTTCTCAAAACTTTAAACTCGTTTTTCTCGAAGCAGTATTATTACGTCTGGCGCATGAGGTTACTCAAAAACTATTAATCCAATCGGTTCCAAATTTTAATGCGTTGTTCTATACATACATATATTGCTATAGCATGAACTAGAATAAATCAAATCGGTGAAGATCTTCTTTACTTTTGAACTTGATTTGTGGCTGAAAAGAATTAAATATTAATCCTAGTTCATGCCATAGCCATACATGTACTCTTCCTAGTCCCGTTGGAATTTTTGGTTTCAGATGTTTCAGTGAGCGGAAATCCCATGCGCCGCCGAAAAGAAGGTCTTTTGTTCAATAACAAAAAAAATGATGTTTATGTGGGATCCGGTAGTGTTGGTGATGGGACCAGAGTTACCAGGAGCGGTCTCACCTACTAGTCTTTGTCTCCCTTTGTCTTGCATCATATGGAGTTGCCTTTTTAACGGCTACCCCACACGCGTAGGTCCGAAGAGAGGGTGACTTCAGGGCGGCTTACGCCGGGTTGTGTGGCAGTTGCGCGCGTTTTATTCGCAGTGTGCCCTCCTACAATTCACAAGACAATGAGAAGCACAATTTGTGGCGGCATCCATGTTACCGAGATTAGTAAGCCCACATTTCAAGGGCCACGAAATCCATACAAGTTCGGATAAATTAACAAATACTAGATTTCTCTTACAATACTTATTCTACCTATCGATCACAATGTTTGACCGTCGACATCCCCGACCCCGTGAAGAACCGCTTCACTCAAATCCAAAACCGCAAGTTTTGAGACGGGCCGCAACATTGTCCGAGATAGGCCATTGTCGTTCACGCGCACTGTAGCGCGTCTGACGACTCCATCAGCTCCGCTGTATATCTCCTCCACGATGCCCTTGCGCCACTCTCGTCTGGGCAAGGCCGGATCGCAGACGAAGACCATGTCGCCCTGGCGGATGGGCTCCGTTCTCCGGCACCACTTCTCTCGGCGCACAAACGTAGGCAGGTACTCCAGCACCTCCTCCAGAAACGGTCTCGCAGCATGCGGGCAATCCTCCACTGCTTTCGTGTAGAACCCTCCTTGGGTAGCTCCGCATCCAATCCAGGCGTAGTTGAATGGCCAACCCCCGCTTCCAATCGATCCTCTGGAAGGGGTCCCATTATCGGCGGCATCGGCCGCGTTCGCTGCAACTTGCACTCGTTGCACGACGAGATTACTTCCTTCAGCACTCGTCTCATCTTCGTTACCCAGAATCTCGTCCAGATCTGAGCAATCGTCGCATCCACATTTTGATGCTTCATGGGCCTCCTCGCACTGTACGGCATGCACAGCGCGGCATCAACTCTTTCATAAGTTCGCAGAACTCCATGTTCATCCACGTAAGGCGCCAGACCTCGAATCTCACTCGAGCTGGCGACGTTCTTTTCGCATTCCGCCGACCTCATCTCGTCGGGGAACGACTCCAATTGGGCCTGTCTGACTAACAGGTTCTCCGCGTTCTCACACTCCTTTGCAGTGAGTCCGTACTCCTCGAGCTCGCTTCTCTGTTTGCGGCACCAGCGCGCAAACCTTAAGACCCAGGCTGTGGTCCTCACCAGGCGACTGAAGCTCGAGTATCTCTAAAACGGAATGACAAATTCATTTGTGGCCACCAATGCAAACTCACTGGGCATCTCCTCTTCATCAGGCGCATCTGGAACACGCTTAGTTCCTTCATCAGGCGCCGGCCAGCCGCTCTCAGGCTGCCTCAAAAATGCGGGTCCCCTTAGCCACCGCGATTCCGGGCTAAGGTCCGCCTTATTCTGCGAGCGAGTCGCATCATCCGCTGCGTTGTCAGCTGTAGGTACACATCTCCACTGGGAAACCTTCGACGACTCCAAAATCTCCGCCACTCGGTTGCCGACGAACTGCTTATACCGGCGGTGGGTGCTGCCGATCCACCTCAGCACCGTTTTTGAGTCCGTCCATAACACCGTCTCGCTGGTGTCCACACTGTGCTCCTCCTTGACAGTGTTCATCAGTCTGGTTCCAAGAACCGCTGCCTGCAGCTCTAGCCTTGGGATCGACATCGTTCTCATGGGCGCGCACTTCGTCTTTGCGCACACGAAGCTAACCAGCACGTTTCCATCCTCGTACGTGGCCCTCCAATAGGCCACCGCCGCGAATGCAGATTGACTTGCATCCACGAACACGTGCAACTCGATAGTCCGAACCGCTCCATGCCCAAAATATTGGCGAGGACATCGAAACTGTCCCACGGCGTCCATCTCCCTGCGCCAGGCTGCAAAGGCTTTGCCTACCTCCTCTGGTAGTGGTTCGTCCCACTGGATCCTCTGCCTCCAGATCTCTCTCAACAGCAGCTTCGCTGTAATCATCAGGCAGCACAGGAATCCCAATGGGTCGAACGTTGACATCAGCAGGCTCAAATACTCCCTCTTTGTAGGGACTCGATCACCACTTAGAACGCTACTTGGCACTCGGTGATACTCCACGTTGAACCTGAAGTCATCCGTGGCTACCTGCCATCGCATTCCAAGGATCTTCTGCTCAGCCTCACCCCATCCGACGCTCTTGACTCGTCCAGGTGGTCCCAACGCCGCTTCCACGATGGGTGAGCTGGATGAAAACTGGCTTAACTCGAATCCAGCCTCCGCATGTATCTCTTTCACTCGGGTAGATACACTGATAGCTTCGCTCTCTGTAGCGATACTGTCCACATAGTCATCGACGTAATGGTGGTCGATTATGGCCTTAACTGCCCTCGGATCTGAATCCCGAAACTTCAGGGCATTCACCGTCTTCACATAATGCGCAGCGCTCGGCGAGCAGGCTGCTCCAAACGTCATTACGTTCATCTCGTACACATCCGGGTCTCTATCGTCGTCACCATCTCTCCAAAGGAATCGTTGGGAACATCGGTCCTCGGGTCGGATCAGCACCTGGTGGAACATCTCCTTGATGTCACCGCAGACTCCGACTGCTCCTTCCCTGAAGTGGAAGAGCACGGCTGGCAAGGGCTTGTAATGCTGAGGCCCCTTGTCCAGCACCGAATTTAAAGAGGTTCCTCCAACCTTGGCTGAAGCATCGAACACAAGCCGGACCTTACCGGGCTTGTTCGGGTTTTCGACACCAAAATGAGCCAAATACCATAGCCGGTCGCTCGTCACCGCGACCTCATCATGCTGCAGCTTCCTCGCATATCCCTTGGCTACGTAATCCCTGATGATGCGATCGTATTCCAGCGTCAACTGCCTGTTGCGCTTCAACTTCTTCTCTACGTTGATCAGCCGTCTGTGCGCCATCTCATAGCTCCGTGGCAGCACAGCGTAGTCGTCCTTCCAGAGTAATCCCGTCTGGTAGCGACGCCCTACTTTCACCGTGGTGTCTTCGAGGATCCTTTGTGCCCGCGCGTCATCGCTGCCTGCGACCTGTGGCGCGAGCTTCACACCAAAGCTTTCCATCTCGAAGTAGTCCTCCACCATCTGTTCCATCGTGTCGTCCATTGACACGGCAAGTAGGCAGGACCTCGGTGACGGCGTAGTCGATTGTCCACTTACTGGCCCAAAAACAACCCATCCAAGCTCGGTTGCGGCCGCATACGGTCCCTCTCTGGCAAACCGCCTCGTCCTAAGTGGCAATCCTAAATGTCCATTGTCCAGTCCGATGAGCAACTTGGGCACCACATTGGTATAGGGCTTCATCGGCAGACGCGCATCCTTATGCACACCTTGGACATCTCGTCGGCCTAACGTCTGCATCGGCAGACTCAGGCTGGAAACGGAGTACAC